TTACAGCAGAGTCCACACATCTTCAAGTTACCAAGGTTGAGAAACTCTGTTTTAGAGAGTCACCACTGGCAGCAACTCTATATATTCAACAGCAATACAGTAAAATAAGTTTTAATTTAAAAAAAAATAAATAAATTCCAACAAAACAAAATAATTAAAGCAAATTCCTTTATAATACATTAATGAAAACTGTATTTTATTAAATTCAGTTAAACGGTTTATTCCCATATAGTTAATTTTCCCACTCATATTAAAAATTATAATTCCATGCAATGTTTGAAAGGGCTCTGTGATTTCCAGCTTTGGGTTGTATACTCCTGATTTAAAACATGTGCCTGATTGCTCAAACTACATTTCAGTTCACTTATGGCTAAATGGACCTTATCTGTCTCCCATCTTGAAACTTCTTTGTCACCAGCTTCACCAATCTCCGTAAAAAGTCTTTTTAACACTATGCTTTATATATCCATCTCTGAGCACAGCTGCTAATACAACTGCTATTCTTTAAGGTCTCCTTTCTCTCCAGCTACAGCACATTAGCAGCCATGCTCAGAGACAAGCCACTGAAAGCATGGTGGGAGAAGTGACACCCAGTACTGAAAACTAGGATTTTCCCTTGCTATGCAGTAAGGGAGATCCTATTGTGAAATTGGAATTTTTTTCCCTACTAACCTTCCTAGAAAAAGGGGATTTTCATGGTCAACACAAGGGGTTGGAGGAAGGAAGGCCTATAGAGTTGTGTGTATGCACAAATGCCTGTGGATATGACAGACAGTGCAAGAGAGGGGAAGGATGTGTGTGTGCCTCCTGAGTGGAAGGTGAAAATACATTTTTGTGTGGTTATGTGTCAGGGGAATGCTGTGTGTCTGTTTCCTGTTTTTTAGGGAACTATCTTAAGATAACTTTGACAAAAGACTGTGTTTAACCTATCCCTGTGGAATCAGCAGCTTGCACACTATTTGATAACCAAGCCTGCTGTTCTCCATGACTTTCCTTTATTAAAAAAAACTCAGCAGAGAAAGCATCCAGCAAACTCACACACTGCTATCTTGTATGTTTAGTAATCCCAGCCTAAATAATTTACATAGGTAACATTTAGAGCAAGATTTACCACACAGCTAGAAAAGTTATCGGAGTTTTGTGATAGAATCTGTCAAATGGATCCTATCCCTGAAAAAAGACATAGATGATTTCCCACTTCAGTCATGACTTGCTCCCTGCAGCAAGAAGAATATGCAAAGTGCGTAAATTCATATCATATACCCAATCTTAAAAGCCTTCAAAATGGTATTTATAATATATGAGAAAATGAAATATCTAACACTTAAGGCAAATAGGTTTGGATTCTAAGGTATGTTAATATAAAGAAGTGGATAGAAGAAATGTTTGCCCCTGCCTTCCACTGCTAGAAAAACTTTGCCTCCATTCCCGCTGCCTCCACCAAAAACCACTTCCAGAGGATGGAGATGGGGTGAGGTTGGACAGAAATGGAGGGGTTTCCATTTGTGACTTTCCCCAAATAGCTCACGTTTGGAACCCATGCTGATTTTGGATTGTTTCTCTCCTTCTCCAATGCCTCATCTTCTATTTTCCACAAAACGCTCTCAACCTTGGGATGGGGAGGAGTGTAGGTGACTGCAATGAGGAGGAAGGGACAGGAAATGCTCCTTTCATTAAGTTCTTTAATCTATTCTATAAAAGGCTCTGGGCTGAAATGGAAGCAATTACAGCCCAAGAAACACCTATATAATTTTCTTACTATTGTATTTCTAAATCCCTCAATGAACTTAAAATCTCATTGAGATACTCTTCAATATAATATTTTTACCGTAAGTAATATATTACTTACACAGCCTTTGTATTACTTAC